TTATGGGAATATGCATACTCCAGCCCCTTCTATTGGGTCCCATCTCATCCCTCTGCACTCAGGACAGGCCTGGCCCAGCTCCAAGCTGGATGTTGCCCCATGGCCAGGATCTCTGCCTATCCCTGAGACTGCATGGCCCCTGGAAGAGGGTAGGGGAAGACGGGCAGCCCTAGGAGCACAGGGCTTGGCCCTCATTATCCCAGGCACACAGACCCACTGGGCTTGTCAGTAAAGGCCTGGCACATGGTCAACTCAGGAATCAGACTCCTCCACTTTCCAAGGCTAGTTGATTCCACAGGTGAGTTGTTCCACACTCGGAAGGGGATTCCGACTTCCGTGGCCACCTTCTTGCTGTGGGCTCCTGCACAAAGGGCAGCAGGGAGCCCCTCTCCTCCTCTTAGTGACCACTGCAGACTGGAGGGGATTCAGTGGGAGAGCTAGTCTCCCCCTCCCTCCTCCTCTCCCACCCCGACCCCTCTCTCTCCAAGGCTGTTCCAGCGCATTAAATTGTGAAGCAGCCTCATTACTGAAGCCTCTGGCTCATTAGCAGGCAACTAGAGGGGCTGGGAGACCCCTGAGGAGAGACTGGAGGGGTGGGGAGGGGGAGCAGCAAACCCCCGCAATAATAACCATCTGCACTGCACTTTCTGCTGAGTTCCGTGTATTCGAATCAGTACACAGAAGTCCTGGGCATTTTTTCTTTTTAATCACTGACAATCCCATTTGATCTTCACCACCTGTGCATCTGTGCTGTTACTCCAATGGTCCCCGTTTTAGGCTGTGGCTGAAGGCGCAGAGAGGGGAATGACTTCCTCAAGGTCAGACAGCTGCAGGACAGATTGGGGGCTCACAACATCCCTACCAGGGAGGGACTGTTATTATCCCATTTTATAGACAAAGAAACAGAGGCACAGAGAGGTCAGGGTACTTGCCCAAAGTCACACAACTCCATCTTTCTTACCCTCAGACCCACTCCTTCCACAATGAGATGGAATTAGGGTCCTCTAGGGAAAAGATCAACCTTGACAGGAGCGTATCCATGACTCCACAGAAGCTGACCCCCGCTCCCCTCCCCCCAGGAGCCATGGGATCAGTGAAGGCAGAGTTGATGGTGTGGAGGAGACAGGTTTCTGGCCACGAGGAATAGGCCAATGAGACTGAGACCCAGCTCGGGCTGAGTTCTAGTCTTGGATCTGCCACTCCTTTGCTGTGTGACATGGGGAAACCACTCCCCCTCTCTGGGCCCTCATTTCAAAGGCTTCTAGAGCAAGGGGGACTGCATAGATGCCCTCTGAGTCTGCTCTTCTGCTGCGGCTCTAATGCACTCCTGGTCCGGGAGGAGGCAGGGCCTGTCTTTTCCTCCTGTCCTGTCCCCAGGGTGGATGCCCTGCTGGGCAGTGCCACCTCCTTCATGACCCTTCCTCCCATCTCCCCAGTCCTTCTCCAGCCTCCACTCTAGCTGGAGAGGAACTGAACTGGGACTCACTGAACACCTGCTATATGCTGGACACTGAGGACACCTCACCCCCTTTTGATGCTCTGCACCCCCTCCCCATGAGGGAAGGTTCATATCATCCCCACTTCACAGACAAGGGAGCCAAGGCTCAGAGAGGCTGAGTTGTCCAATCATACTAGCTAGAAAACGGCAAGGCTAGAATTTGAACCTCGGTGTCTGTTTCCAAAGCCTGCTTTCCCGCTGCCCCAGGCTGCCTTTCCCTTGCAGTGCCTGGGCAGGATCGTGGCCCAGTCCTTGACCTTCAGTCCGCTGGGGGATGGCTCTTCTTCAAGTGGAAGGAGCCCCAGGAACCCAGCGGACAAGTCACTCATGACTTGTACATATGTGCAGAGGAGGGGAGGGCAAGGGGTGAGTATGCACGCGCCATCCTGCACACACCCATGCCCCGATCCCAGGGGACATTAGAGGGTCTTACTGTCCCTCGTGGTTATGGGAAAGGCTGTTTGTTGAGGGCCCCTGTGGCCCAGCATCGTGCCTGGACTTCACATGCGTGAAGCCATTTGATCCTCATGGAACCTTCTGGAGTGGGCGTAATTACCCTTATCTTCCACTTGAGGACATTGAGGCCAGGAGAGTTGACTTGTTCCTGCTGGGGCTGAGATCCTCCACGGAGCCCTCTTCTCCCCAGTGAAGCATACGCAGGTCAGGAGTGACAGCCCTCTTGTGGTAGGCAAAAGGAGAAAGCCATGAAGTTCCAGGTGGAACACCCAGGAAAAAAGCATGTTGCCCTGGTGCCCACGACAGTCCCTAACTTCACCACCCCTTTCTCTCCACCTTTCTGTCTCCTAATCTGCATAATGGGATCAAGATCATCCTGCCTACCTCATGGGGTGGCTGTGAGAGTCCAGATTAACCAGATCAAGATGCATTCTGGATGCAATTTTAAAAGGAATTGTTTCTTTACTTTCCTTTTCTGATATTTCATTGTTAGTGTAAAGAAATGCAACTGATTTCTGTGTATTAACCTTGTATCCTGCTACCTTGCCAAATTCTTTTATCTGCTCTGGCAGTTTTTGTGATTGCATCCAAAAAAAAAAATTAAATACTTAGGAATAAATCTGACCAAGGAAGTGAAAGACTTATACACAGAGAACTACAAAACATTGACTAAGGAAATTTAAAATGACTTAAAGAAATGGAAAGATACACCATGTTCTTGGATTGGAAGAATTAATATTGTTAAAATGGCCATACTACCCAAAACAATCTACAGATTTATGCAATCTCTATCAAATTACCCAGGACATTTTTCACAGAACTAGAACAAATGATCCTAAAATTTATATGGAATCACAGAAGACCCAGAATTGGCAAAGCAATACTGAAGAAAAAGAATGAAGCTGGGGGAATAACCCTTGCAGACTTCAGACAAAACTACAGAGCTACAGATATCAAGACAGCATGGCATTGGTACAAAAACAGACATATGGATCAATGGAACAGAATAGAGAGCCCAGAAATAATCCGACAAATCTTTGGTCAATCAATCTTTGACAAAGGAGGCAAGAACATGCAATGGAGTAAAGGGTGTTGGGAAAATGGGACAGCAGCATGAAAATCAATGAAGTTAGAATACTCCCTCATACCATACACAAAAATAAACTCAAAACAGCTTAAAGACTTAAATGTAAGACAAGTCAATATAAACCCCTTAGAAGAAAACACAGGCAAAACATTCTCTGACATAAATCTTAGTAATGTTCTCCTACGGCAGTCTACCCAGGCAATAGAATAAAAGCAAAAATTAACAAATGGGACCTAATTAAACTTATAAGGTTTTGCACAGCAAAGAAAACCATAAACAAAACAAAAAGACAACCTACTGAATGGGAGAAAATATTTGCAAAAGATGAGACTGACAAGGGCTTAATCTCCAATATATAGAAACAGCTCATATAACTTATTAAGAAAAAAATAAAACAACCCAATCCAAAAATGGACAGAAAACCTAAACAAGCAGTTCTCCAATGGAGACATACAAATGGCCAATAGGCACATGAAAAGATGCTCAATATTGTTCATTACTGGAGAAATGCAAATCAAAACTACAATGAGGTATCATCTCACACTACTCAGAATGGCCATCATTCAAAAATCCACAAATGATAAATACAAGAGAGGGTGTGGAGAAAAAGCACCCCTCCTACTCTGTTGCTGGGAATGCAGTTTGGTGCAGCCATTAGGGAAAACAATATGGAGATTCCTCAAAAAACTAAAAACAGACTTACCATATGATCCAGCAATCCCATTCCTGGGCATATATCCAGAGGGAACCTTAATTCAAAAAGACACATGCACCCCAATATTCATAGCAGCACTATTTACAATATTTACAATAGCTAAGACATGGAAACAACCTAAATGTCCATCAACAGATGACTGGATAAAAAAGTTGTGGTATATTTATACAATTAAACACTACTCAGCCATACAAAAGAATAAAATAATGCCATTTGCAGCAACATGGATGGACCTGGAGATCGGCATTCAAAGTGAAGTAAGCCAGAAAAATACCATATGATATCACTTATATGTGGAAGCTGAAGAAAAAAAAAAGACAAACTTATTTACAAACAGAAAGAGACTCACAAACATAGAAAACAAACTTCTGGTTACCAGTGGGGAAGGGAGTGGGAAGGGATAAACAGGGAGTTTGAGATTTGCAGATACTAACTAATATATATAAAATAGATAAACAACAAGTTCATACCTTATAACACAGGGAACTGTATTCAATATCTTGTAGCAACTTATGGTGAAAAAGAACATGAAAACGAATATATCATGTATGTTCATGTATGACTGAGACTCTGCTGTAGACCAGAAATTGACACAACATTGTCAACTGACTATACTTTAATAAAAGTGTATATATACAAAAAATCGATGCATTCTGTTCACAGCATTTGAATGTAACTAACAGGTGAAGTTACCAGGAGAGAGAGGTTTCCCCTGTTTCAAGCCCATGTTGGTGGAAGAAGGATACCCAAGGGAGATTGTCAGAAATGACCAGGGGCCAGTGTGGAGGTCATCCAGATGCCCTGCCTTCTCTGCCAGGTGGACAGTGTCATCCTCCTGCATGAAGGTCACAAGCGCTAACTTTGTGATCAGAGTCGGGTTCAGACTCTGCTCAGTCACCCCAGGCAAGTCACTTAACCTTCCTGAGCCTCCTGTCCTCTTGTCCGCAGAGGTAACCCTTGTGTTCTTGAGCCACTCCTGCTATTCAGGACCTCCTGACATCAGACTGCAGTCCACATCCAGGAAGTCCTCACCAGGTCCTGCGCTGGGGTCCACAGCTGTGTGCACGTGTGCATGTGGGGCACAGACCCCCGGCAGCCCTCCCCTCAGTGCAGGCAGCTCCTAGCCCTGGTCAGCCCTTCTCCAGCAGGGGTCCAGCTCCTCAGATCCACCGTTTCCTGGGTGGCTCCTCTGGGCTCAGTCCTTCCCACAGAACCCTCACAACAACCCTGAGAAGTGGCATGGAGACCTGCAGAGCTGGGGTTACAGCCCAGGCCCCGTCTGACTCCACAGCCTGCTGATGCTGCTCTGTGTTCTGCCTGGTGCTCTCTGACTCTACAAACCTTCCAGAACATTCCCCTGCCCCTGTGCTTGTTCCCTCCTTGCACAGCAGGCTCAGGTGGCAACAGGCCAGCCCAGGGGACAGTGGTCTGTCACCTCCTCACTGGGCCTTAGACTTACATTGATGTCATCCACAGTCACACTGGCTTTTCCAGCAACCACACGCCCGTCAACTCACGTGGAGCCTCCAGCTAGGCTTTTACAGGAAATGCTAACAAAGCAGCTCTCCCTCCCCCTCGACTTCTCAGTTAATTCTGAACCTAAATGCAGAACTTTTTAGAGCATCCTTATTACACCACATCTGCTTGATCTCACCCTGGGGTCAGGTGGAGGCCGCCATGCAAGTGTCCCTCCTGGTCCTGTCTTTGTGGATCTGGGTGGGTGGTGTTTGTGGTTCTTCTTCCAAGTTGACGGGAGGCTGGCCGGAGCAGAGCCCTGTGGCAAACCACTGGAGACCTCCTTCTCGGCCACTGTCCATTTGTGGCACCACTGTTAAGTCATCCTGACTAGCCATCCTCTGTCTCTCTCCCTGCGGCTTGCTGGTATCTGACCTGTCCCTCCCCCCCCACCTCCCATCCCCTCCCTGTCTCTCTCCCTCTCCTTGTCATTGTTCCTTTGGTGTCTCCTCCTCTGCCCCCGCCTCTTTCTCTGTATCCTCCTAATTCCCTTGCCCCCTCTCTTCTCCCTCCTCACCTCCCTCCCTGCTTCACCTTCTCTTATGTTCATGGTCAAGGTCACAGCCACAGAGGCTTCTTCGTATCTCCCTGGGTCTCTGGCTCTGTCCTGGGCCACAGTGAGGGTGATCCCCAGAGTCTGTGGGTGGGGCTGGGGGTAGGAGGGAGTGATACTGTACGAACAGAGGGGATCAGAGCTGCCTCATGCTGTGACAGGCAGGATCAGTGGCTAGAGGGACTGATCTGGAGTCATACGAACCTGGACTTGCCTTTCAGATCCCTTTAGCTGTGTGACCCGGAGCAAGTCGCCTACCCTCTTTGAGTGTCTGCTTCCTCCTCTATAAAATGGGGCAGATATCACAGGGCTGCTGTGAAAACTCGGTGAGATCGAGCATGTCAATCCCTTGGTGCCGTGCCTGACTCCAGGAAGAGCGTGGGCAATCTTAGCTGGCATTACTTGTATGCAGTGGGCTCTGTGCCAGAAGCTTTTCATATCTT